GGTACCCTAATATATGCTACCACCCTGGGTCAGAGGGAATCATCCAAAAAACAACAATTAAGAGCTGATTCTACGTTCCTCAAAATCTCGCGTAGTTTATTGTCATATCCAGGATTCTATCACTTCGGTAAGAGCTTATCAATTCAAAAATTGTCCCCCGGTCATCAGCATCTCTGTTTATAATCTAGTCTCTACCAACTGCTTTGTTCCGCTTTATCTTAGCCAGGGTTGGTCTCACTTCAGATTTTTTTTTTAATTTTTTTTTTTTTTAATTTTTCTTTTTTTTGTATTAACGTATCTTTCCATAGTTACAGTCACCCTCTTCCTAATATCTTCGATGTCGCTAGTCTTATTTTCCAGTCGATATTTTCTTTATATTCGCTTATTGTTACGCAAACGACAGAGAAACTGAGCAGATAAAAGAAGAAATCATAAAAAAAAGAGATGATAAAGAAAATTCGATCAATCAATTGGTAATAAGCAAGCGGCCGATTCTATAATGCTGTCTTGTGGACTCAATTTATCTGACGAAAATTCCCATACCGATGTGCTTTTGGAAATAATTTATGGTAGTTTTTTTTCACTCCTCCTATTTCTTTCTTTTTTTAGTCTCGTTTTTCTTGTCCCTCCATATATATATATATATATATATATATATATATATATAATAGAATATAGTTTTAAGCTATGCTATATTTATGGGTTAAAGTGCTCAATATCAGAGATGGAGAGTATAGAAATATAAAATATAATGGTGTACATTGAAGTCAACAACCAGAGGCGACTGTCTGTTTCATGCTTAAACGCAATCACCATGGCCTGATTATTGCGTTTAAGTATAAAACAGACTGTCGCCTCTGTGTGTTGACTTCAGTGTCCACTTTATATATATATATATATATATATATATATATATATATATATATATATATATATATATATATATATGGAAGGTGTGTGTGTATGTGTATGTGTGTGGGTGTAATGTTTACTTTTATGTAATATTTACAATTGGATGCATCTTTAAAAATTTATGCTGATAAGAAGACAAGGATAGACGTGAATTCTCCACCTCCTTTACTTGCTTGGGGTGAAACGATTAAAAAAATACTACTTCTAATAATTACTATTATTATTATAATAATATAATTATATATATATATATATATATATATATATATATATATATATATATATATATATACTTGAATAAAAACAGACCACTTTAAGGTTCCATGTAATAATAACTTTTGGAATAACTTTTGATAATTTTGTAGGTATCTAAAAACAGTCACGAGTTTAATTTATGAACAAAACTCAAACGAATAGATGTCAACTTAATAATCAACAAGAAAAAAGTTTAGGAAAATAAAAAAGATTACTAGATGAAAAATGAATTATTCTTTAAATGTACTTTCTATAAATTTTTTCCAATCGACTATTTCATAGAAAATACCCAAAACTCCAACAAACATCAAACTTTAACTCCCAAATATACCCTTTAAAGTAATGCGAAATGACAGCGTCCAAGAAATTGAGTGAAACCTTCTCTCATCAGGATTATTTTATTGTATCTTCTTCCTTTTATGTCGGCTTTCCTCTTCACCACTTACCCATCCATATATAAAGATAACATACGCTAAGTTAAGCGTTGTCTGGCCCACACCAAATGGGGTTAGGGATAAAGAATTGAAATGGTACATCTAACTCACTCATGTCTTCTCTCTCCCCCCTCACTTCCTCACTTTGTTAATTTTACATATGCTTAATACGGCCCGTCAAAAATGTGTTAATTCCTTTTCATTTTTCATTTCAACCTTTAGAAGTAAAGTCTGATGATCCAGAGCCCTTTAAAAGGGCTGTGGTGAAATAATTTATTACATGGAACCTTAAAGTGGTCTGTTTTTTTTTTCAAATATATATATATATATATATATATATATATATATATATATATATATATATTACTATATTATTATTATTATAATAAATAGTAATTATTAGAAGTAGTAGTAATTTTTTTTAATCGTTTCACCCCAAACAAGGCGGGAGTGTCACTAGTACACATTACAGAGAGTGAAAGTGAGAGAAAAAAACTGGGTATAGAGGTGGATTAAGGAAAGGATAAAAGATGACCGGCGTTCCAGACGAGAGAAGATGGCGATTGGCGTTGCATCTAAATTTTTGAAGATTGTATTTATCAGGAAAGCAAGGAAACTGTCGTGAAGTGCGAGAAAAGAAACTGTTGGGGTAGAAGTGGCGGTTACATTTAACATTTAACTAGTTCAACAGTAAAAGGGTGGGGGGGTCCTTGATGCCAATCTGATAGACGCTTAAATTTGTGTAATCGGAGCACAAGGGAAAAAAATTCGTTAGATAAATTGATATGAAAATATTTATAGAAAATACAGAATGAAGCCACATCACGTCTGTGAGAAAGTGACTGAAGTCGAAATGCCAAGTCAGGATCGATTACCAGATATGGCAACAGTATTCAATGTGCAAGATGGACACTGACGAGAAAAACCTCCTGGTGCGACAAAATGAACCAACTTTTCTTTTTTCCACTTCAAGTCAGTCGAAAACGTGTGACGAAGATGACACAGAGGGAGTCTCTCCAGGAGTCGAGCATCAGCCACGCTGATGGCGGTCAGAGAAGTTTCTCTATAGTGGTTAAAGGAGAGCAGTTTAGTTTTGGATGCATCAAAATTTATACGCCATTAGCTACCCCAGTTATCCACTGATTGGAGTCCCTTTTCAATAGCAGCGGCCAGGTTAACTTTGTCAGCTCTGACAGATTTGCTATTGAGACAAGAATAAATAGTAGTGTCATCTGCATAAATTCTTACTTGGGAATTGATGACATCAGGGAGATCATTGCTGAAGATCAGAAACAGCGTAGGATCCAGGATAGAGCCTTGTGGAACACCCGCGTTCGTATGAAAGGATTTGGAAGGGATCCCGTTCAGAACAAATTTCATTTCACAATTCGATAGGAATAACTGGATTAAATCAAACAATCGTCCTGTAATGTTGTAGCCCTGAAGCTTGCATAGAAGACCAGCATGCCAAAGCCTGTCAAACACTTTTGTGAAATTTAGAGTCACAGCACGAACTTCGCCGTTATTATCAAGAACTTGATGTACATATTCAGTGATGGCCGTAAGAACGTCAGCGTTAGACCGGGTGAAACGGAAGCCACATTGGTAGTCAGAGAGTAGGCCGTGAGAGGTAAGATGCTTAACCAGTGAAAAGCGGTAGGAGACTAACAGGGTGATAGCTAGAGGGGTCAGAAGTTTCTTCAGAGTTCTCAAAAACAGGGACTGTGGAGGAGGACTTCCAACAAGCTGAAAAGCAGGAAGCAGCGAGACAATAGTTGTAGAATTTGGAGAGATCTGGAGCCAGGACGACGGCTGGGATCCCGTCAGCTCCACTTGCCTTATGAGAGTCTAATTTAGAAATGATACCCGAGACCAATGATGGGGTTAGGCGCATATAACTCAGTAGTGCCTCAGTATTAGGGTAGAAATCAGGTGTGAGTACTCCAGACGAGTCTAGTGTTAAGCTGGAAGCGAATTTCCGGCAAAGTATTCAACATTATCTGTTGCAGGACTTTCGAACTGATTGAATAGATGATGGATTGAGGATTTGCTGTATTATTATTATTATTATTATTACTAGTAGTAGTAATTAATAGTATTAGTAGTAGTAGTATTTCAGCTTCGGTTTTAACTGTTATTAATATCGGTCCTCCTTTATCACAGTGAATGCTGGACAGATAAAAAATGGCTTGCTGCAACAGATACGGGATTCTACAGAAGGATGCTGAGAATGCTATGGGCTGAACATGTGAACCACGACAAAGTTTTAGAGTAAATGGATACAAAAAGGTCGCCGACAATTAACCACAAGAAGAGACAGTTACATTTCTGGGACACATAATGTGAAATGAAGACTTCGAAAATTTTATACTGACCGGAAATATTAAAGGCAAGAGAGCCTTGAGGATAGCAGCTCGTTGACAGAACAGGGATTAGGACAGATAGCGAAAATAAATAATGTACGAAGAGCTACAAAGGACAGGAAATTATGGAGAGCCATGATCTGAAGAAGAGACACTGCACAGGAAAGAAGTAACGAATAGTTGTCACTGGAACCTACGAGATATCAAGTCTCTAAAATATTGATGAAAGTTGCGAAATATTGCAATCTAGGAAACATGTACTCCTCCATAACGACAGAGATCCGCTAAATGGTCGTTAAAATTCTTATGACCGATGTTCATTAAAAGGAAGACTTCTATCAGTGACATTTTTTTCGTTTTATTTGAGGAACACATATTAAGCATCGATTCTTGGAGGAAGTGATAGGGAAGATAGATCGGAAAAAAAAAAAAAACGTCCCGCTGCTTATCCTATCAACCTGATTGCTTTTCTCCTCCCTGTCGAAACCAGAAATTTTGGAAACTTTAAGTTCGGACAGCATTAGTGCCACTTGACACCATTTTGCGAAATACTGGCTTTGGAGCATTTTTCGGCTTTGTATATATCAAAAAACAAATTGAACAAAGACATTTCATAACTGTCTGGATTTGATACCCGTTGTCTTCACTCCACAAACTTATTTCGGGTCGGCAGAGTTCTGACCAGTATGTTAGGGTTTGTAATTACATTCATCACAATTATCATATTCCCATTTTTGCCAGCCTACATCTTCTGTAATAAAAACATTATAGATATATAAATTCGAGTATAAATACAGGCGAGAATTTTAATTAGTGCTAATATCATTATTGTTGTTAATATTAATATTATCAGTGTTAATATTATCATTCTAACAAGCATACAATACTATTATCGTAAGTGTCTTCATAATAATAATAGTAATAATAATAATGATAATAATATTAATATAGTTATTATTATTATTATTATTATTATTATTAATTAGTACAATATTTTTTCATTTTTCTATTATCATCGTACTCAGCACTATAATTAATGTTTATTATTATTATTATTATTATAGTGATTCGGGCGGAGCCGTTGATGTTAATTGATTAAAATCCCAACTTTGTAATTAAATTGTTGAAGTCGTTCGTATTCGGCATTCGACTCAGTTACAACTGGCTGAACCCTCTCTCTCTCTCTCTCTCTCTCTCTCTCTCCCTCCCTCTCACTCACTCTCCCCTCCACCTCCTCTCCCTCTTTCTTTATCTATCTATCTATCTATCTATCTATCTATCTATCTATCTATCTATCTTTGTATCTACCTGTCTATCTGTCTCACCCCTCATGTTTTCCTTCTCTCTCTCTCTCTCTCTCTCTCTAATTTTTCTTTCCCCTTTCTCTCCTTCTCCTCTCCTCTTACTCTTTTCGTTTTATTTCCACTCCTTCTCTTTCTTAATTTTCCCTTTTCCAATCTTCACTCTGAATTTATAATCTCTTTCTTACTTTCCAGATCACCCTCTCTCTATATATATCTGTCTATCACACCCATCTTGCTTTCTCTCTTTCCTTTTCTATCCACTCGTTAGTCATGTTTCTGTTTTCTAATTCTTCCACACCCACTAACCCTTTGTGTCTTATTGGCTTTACTGCCCTGCTTCAGGTGAAACAAAATTCGTGTATGACAATCACTAAGACTGACATGAGCAAATTAGGTAGACTAGGCAAAAAGTGCTGAAAAGATATTAAATAATAATTACGCTATTATTATTATTATTATTCAAGATAATAGCGCTTAAGTCTTTAGTGGATTACTGGATAAAAAGTCTATTATTTCTTTAGGGGATTACTTTGTTTTCATTTGGATATGAAACTGAGCAGATATGATAATTTCGACGAAAGATTTCGCTTCACTGTTTAGACCGAGTTCGATTGGCAAACTTCCTTCGTGGTCGGTTAAGGCACGTCGTGTCTAACGATTTTGTTTCCCTCTGCCCATGATGACGTAGGAGAGCGCATATTTTTCTCTCGAACATTCAGGCAGGTAGACGAAAATAAATAAATATACTGTTTAATAAATAAACGGAGCTGCGATACAAACGCAAGCGTCATACCAAGGGGCCTCTGTGACATAGAGGTAACTAACTAGGGTCGAGTCTAATGTTTTGGAGGGAGCGGCTGGAGAAAGAAGACGTGGCTCGTGGTGTGTGTTGGTGTGGGGCACAAGACTATGGGAAAGCATACTCGGAAGACTTACAGTAAAGGAAAGTGAGAGTAATGCTATATCTTTAGTCATTGAAGCCTGTTGCTACAGTTGGCATGACGCTTGCGTTGTATCGTAACTGTCCGGGTTCGATTTTTGGTAGTGGATGCAAATAGGACAAAACGATATTCTGTTTTGGATTCTTCTAGAGTCGATGAATTAATTTGATTTGTTTATTCATATGCCCCAATAATTTCTAATTATTTTATATATATATATATATATATATATATATATATATATATATATATATATATATATTAATTGATTTAATTAATTTCATAATTCACGTTTCCAAGGTTACAGATAAATCCACTTTCACTAGAGTGTCTGCGTGTTCATTATGTCTGTATTTTGATGTATCCATTATTAGTTACGTTTTGGTAGGGGTAGGGATGTAGTTTTCAATGAAATCTGACATCCGTTAAATGCATGTCGTCTGGATTTTTTTTTTTTAATTTTTATTGTTAACGGCAAAAATTCTTACGGCATTTTTTTCTATTTGTATATTTAAAGATTTAAAGATGCGTTGGACTTTGACACCCACTATACGGATATTACAGATGAAGAAAAGAACATTATTCTATTTGCGAAAAAATCGGTACAAATACATAAAGGTGAGCAATGGATTAAGAATTCTTATGACCACTTTGACATCATAATGGTATCACTAGACTCAGCTGAGTCTTCTGATCTCATTGGTCTTTTTATATTATACAACCTTACAGCGCACCATGATATTAATATAACTGACATTGGTTTGTACAGAGACGATGGACTTATGGTTATTAGAAACTCAACTAACTTCAAAATAGATAGAATTAGAAAGGTATTATATAAAGAATTTAAAAGCATGGGCTTAAAAATTACGATTAGCACTAAATTAAAAAGTGAACTTCCTAGATATAACATTAGATCTAAATAAAAATACATACACACCTTATAAAAACCTAACACCAATCCTTTATATATACACCCTAAATCAAATCACCCCCCATCTATAATTAAACATATACCGTCATCTATCAGTAAACGAATTAGTACAAATTCAGCAAATGACAAGATTTTCGATGAGCATATCAATTCCTATAATAAGGCTCTAAAAACAGTGGTTACAAAAACCCAAAACTAACTTATATAAAAAATGAAAATGGAAAGCATAGAAAAAACAGATGTAGAAAAATAATTTGGTATACGCCCCCATGCAACCAAATGGTAAAGAACAAATTAGGACAATTTAACTTTTGGTGTCTTATTTGTTTCCTTCAAGTGCCAAAAATATTTTGATAGTGAAGTCTGGTTTCTTTTGTTTATATTATTAAAGGAGCACTTATGCTGCCTCCATCTATCTTTAAAATTATTCTTCGTGGACCCAATGTATATCATATTAGTGCTACGGCTCTCTGTGGATGAAATAGTGCATTGGTATACCACAGAATTAATACAACATTTATTTTCTAATGGGCAGTCTTCTGGGTTTCTACAGTTACATAATTTTTCCCTATTATCATCTGCGAAGAATAAAAAAGTTAAATGGAAAATTATTGACAAGGCTAGAATATGTAAAGCTTGGGATGACCCATGCCCTTTGTGCCTCCATGAAAAATTGCACATTATTAAACTTCTAAATAATAATAATCTATTAAATAATAGACACGAGTTAACGGTTTTTTGTAGGCATCATCAGATTTTTGGTTTGAAATAAAAAAAATTTATATAACTTGTTTAACAAATAGCCCAATCATCAAATTCATAGTAGAAATTATTAACTACAAACTTGCATACAACATAACACCCTTCATAATCCATAGCCCAAATTAGTAGTTTAAATACCTTACATAAAAGATAACCCTCAGAGTTTGTCTATATTTCAGGGATGAGGTATTATGTACAGTATTTACATTAGTCGGACTATTGTCCTCATCTTTGTCGCCATATTTGTCACAACGTTTCGGCCGTTGTACGCTCCGGCCTTCTTCAGGTGGTTGGAATTTCGAACCGAACCCTTTATTTCGATCGCTGGGGTAGACTGTTCTAATTCCACGTGCCATGTTTGATGGATGTCAGTTATCAGTTATCTCCTGCTAATTTTCCCTCTGAAAGTTCTCCACTGCCTTAACCAGGAATAGAAATAAATACAATATGGGAACCAGTAATAAGGAGTGCCAGAGAAAAGCAATGATAACAAAGTTGCAATATGAACTCTGGTAAAGACATGCAATGATAACAGCAAAAAAATTGCAATATGAGCACTGGTAAAAATGATGCTGAAAACATTAGGTTTATAATACTCAGAAGTTCATACCCAGATGTCCTCAAGGACACATGGCACAGTGGATAAAGGCGTTGGTTAGATCTAGTGACAGACCCAAAGAAGGTGAGTTCAATTCCTGGTTAAGGTAGTGGAGAATAGTCCGACTAATGTAAATACTGTAAAAGATAACCCTTTATGAAGTCGTCAAAAAACAAACGTTACGAAAGTTTTTCTTTTTATATGCACAATTCCCTTTCATAATAAAATAAAATAAAATAAATAAATAAATCTCCATAGACAAGCATCTTCGTTTCATTTTTGACACCATCACCTTCCCCCGACTTGACACCTTGAAAGTATCTCTATACCGCTACTTATCATTAACACCCTACACACGCCTACCCAATTTCGCCCTCGCTGTTACCATGGGGATTTTGATTTCAATTTTTAAAACAAGTAAATTTCAGATATACGTTATTCCAACAAAAACTTCGCTTGAAGATGGAACGGAGCCCTTTTTAATTTCAACTCAATTTAATTTAAAGGATTATATTGAAGTTTTCGGCTCTTGTTTTGAAACATGAGACCTCTTATGTAGCGATTTGGAATCATATTTTTAAATAAATAATTATATTTATGCTCTACTTTTGTATCGAGCACTATTTTTTAAAAATTTTAAAAATAATAACTAAAATACTAAGGAACTTTGGACTATTTACCTAACCAGTTCCTTCCTATTTTCTATATATTTTCATTTATATATATATATATATATATATATATATATATATATATATATATATATATATATATATATTGCGTTTCGAAAAAATATTACGGTCCCCCAGGTTATTAATTGTACAAATATGGATGAATGAAAGTAATATATGCAGTTCAATACATACAAATGTTCCAAAATAAACATTACTGAATTTTTTCGATGTTAACAACGACCTCTATTCTTGCTTTCAAACGAATGTAGTTCACACTATCCAGTTATACATTATTATTTTTACAATAGAGCAAGGGATGTAGTTGGTTTAATAACGTATCCGATGTCCTCTCATCATATTCTATGAATGTTCAAGTAATTTCAAGAATACTATATGTTCTTATCCTGTTGAAAGAATATATAATCCTTGTAATTTAGAAACGGGCTGATCAAAATTCGGGACGGACAGAATTGACACCGCAATCATCAAAGACGAATGAATATCTCTCATGAGAAAATTATATTTTAAAAAGAAAAAATAAAAGAATTATCACTGTTCATCGCTTATTGCAATACAGACTGGTCAGACGATGGCTAAGACTGAGCCTTTTCGGACTTACATGAAGTGGAAAGATTATATTAATATATATTACTAGGTCTGCAAGAAGTTGGTACCATTCGTCCAGGCAATGAGCATTGCTACCACATCTAGTTTGATGCGCCTTCCATATATATGTAGAAATTCTAGATAAATTACAAAGTTAGTGATGTAGACTTGGCATCTCGACGATCTTTAGCCACTTTCCCCCTACTGTAATGTGTCTTCCCTGTGCCTTTTCTATAAATACTTTCATGGTAATTGTTCTGATGAACTTTCCTCGATGGTACCAAGACTTTATGAATTTACGCTCAATACTACATTGGCGGTTAGGTCGCATCATTTTACAATTGAAATGGCGAGATGTAACTGTAATTTCTTGACATTTTCTTTTCTTGAACTCGCTTTACCTAAATTATTCTTATTTCCCGTTCTTTTATGGTTCTAGCCTCTTATTAATGTTTTTCCTTATCTTCTTTTACATTCACTAACCCCCCACACACACACACACCGCGTCTTAGTGACTTTATTGCCTTAATTGGAGTGAAATGATTAAAAAAATATTTATATAAAAAGCACATGTAAGTTTTGTGAAGCCGATGC